CCCTCTCCCCATCCCCACCCCCAGCCATTGTCCCAGGCCTCAGCGTCCTCCAGGCGGTGTCCAGCAGGGGGCAGGCGTGAACAGGCCTTGGCAGGGCACCTTGAGATTCACTGGGTTTCGACCCTCCCCACCCTTTAGACCGTCGGGATCCACATCTCGGCAAAAAACAACAACAAAAACAAAACAAAACAAAACAAAAGAATTGCCCAGAGCTCCAGCTCTGGGCCTCTGGGTCTGCCTAAGGCCCAAACCCCATCCTGGTCAAAATGCCTTAGCCTGAATTCTACAGATTCCTATCTGATCCTCAGCCCCTCACCACCACCCGCAAGTCCCGCGTTGATGGCTTTTATTTAACCTTATCTCCTTCCTCTCCCCACACCTACTTCCACCCATTTGATTAGGGGCCTGTTTCTTTAACGATCAAAGACGTGGGCGGCGGTGGGGGTGGTATCTTAGCTCCCGTTTCCCCAGCCCATCAGTAACTGTACCATTATTAACATTATAGTCATTAGACTGCTCCTGCGCGCCTGGCGGCGCAAGACAAGCGCTCAATCTCCCAGCTGAGCTCGGAGGCTGAACCCGGAGTCTTGGTTCCTACCCGAGTTCTCGGCGGACCTTGCCAGGGGCGACTCGGGCTTTAGGCTGCCGCGGCAGGAACTGGGCACTCCAGGGCCGAAGGGCTGGGGTAAGGGTTGGCTTTCCCCAGGGTACGCTCAGGGAACAAAAGCGCTGGCTGGACAGTGGGCGGGAACTACAGGGCTCCGCGGGATCCCGCGCCCTCGCTGGGTGGCCACCGCGCCCTTAGCCGCAGTCCTGACACCTGGAGCCCTATATCCCAGCTGAATTTCTCCGGCTTCTACAGCCTCGGCAGGAAAGGAAGGGAAAGGGTTCTTTATCGGCCGGTGAGTCCCAGAGGTTCCCGGGACGCTGGCTGGACGGGTCCCTGCGATCCAGGGAAACACTCGGCGGAGAGTGAGCGAAACCATTCTGACTTCCACTTTCCAGCCTCTGTCTTACAATCCCTCAACCCAAAGTTGTCCCCTGCCCGCCCGCCCGCCCGCCTCTCCGTCTGCCTCCTAGGGGGCGGGGGACAGGGAGGATAAGAGGTGGAAACTGGATGGAGGGTCCACAAGCGGTGCGCCCTCTCGCCAGAACCCCAATCCTTACCTCCGCGCCGGGCGCGCCGCCCCCGCCCGGGGAAGGTTCCAGAACCCTCCTTCTGGACCTGACTCTCCATCTTCGATGCTGGGTCTCTGCCTCCTCTAGAACCGCGTCAAGTTTCCCAAGACGCGGACAACACTGCCAGGAAGACCCTCTTACTCCGCAGACAAAGAGGCTCTACTAGGTCCGGCTGTGCCACTCCCCGACCCAGCCAGGCCCAAAGAGCAGGGACTCACTTCCGAAGTGGGGGCCCGTTCCCCCGTCCCACCACAGGGCCAAAGATGCTCTCACCCCTTCACCGCCCTCCCTCTGGGTCCACTGTGGCGATTACAGTAGCAGGTGGAATGAAGTTCTGGCTTCTGAATTCTGGGCTGAGAGAGATGCGCTGGTCCCAGCCCGCTTGGCCTCCTGTAGCAGCGGCAGGAGGTGGAGAGAGAGGGAGGGACGCAGAGCTTGCATGCGCCAGTCTGTTCATATTTAATTTACAAAGGATCCTCAGAACCAGGGTCGGTTGATCCCTTTGGATGCAGCATTCTCTCGTGTCTATCTTCCCCACCTCCCTGGCTCATTAAAATGCTCCACATTTAAATCTGGAGATTAAGCTTTTCAGAGGGCCCTATCCCATGCCATAGACCCACCACCAGAGACCCCCCCACGGCCCGGGCAGAGGGCTGGGGGTGCCTAGGGCTACCCGAAAGGACCAGGGAATGCGAGGGCTCTGCGTGTGTGTCCGGGAGCCTGCATCCATTCCTGTTCTGGCCAGTAACTCTGTCTCCAGGCTGCTGGCCATGCAGGGGGACAGGAATTCGGTTTTAACCAAATGCGCTGACATCCCCATGTCTCTGCCTTCTTGTCGAGAAAAGAAATGTCGGGGTTTAGCCAGAGACAGGGAAGGAGAGTCGGAAACAGCGAGTATTGAAGTATGTTGAGGTGGGCTGTTGTGTGTGTGAACGCGTGAGACACTGGGGAGGTGAGGAGCGGCGCAGACTGTGGAAACCGTTTGTAAGGTTGGTGGTGTGTTTGCCTGTGAGGCTGTGAAGACATGAGAGGTGCTTGAGCCTTAAGTTCCCATCCCACGCAGCTCAAGAAGAGCAGACATTTTATAACCATCCCTTTTGGCACCGTTGCCTGCTGCAGCCCCGATGCCCCATTCGCCTCTAGCTGTCAAAGACTGAGGGTGAGACGTTGGGTGCGCTCAGGCAGGCTTACTGGGAGCCGAGCCTGACACCCACACACCCGGCGCGGCTGCTGCCAGCGGTGCGCACAAGCCAGCGAGTTGGGCCGTGGGCTTCAGCGCTAGTTTAGCTGCAAAAGACCAGACGTAAAGAGCCGGGCTTAAAAGGCTGGAGAGGGGGCATCACTTCCCCGCGCGCCCTGCAGGGCCCTGCGTTCTCGTCTTTGGACTGGACAGGTGTGGGGCAAGGGGAATAGAGAGAGACCTGGGCAGGTATCTCTGCCCAGATTCAGGCAAAAATGGTAGGGAGGGTGAGGTGCTCTGCTAACACTATAAATTATGCATCGTGTTGAATGTGGTTTGGGGAGGAGGCGACTAGCGGGGGGAGGGAGTTGGGGGTACCAGAAGGAAGGGTCCTTGCTAGCCCGACTGCATGCCTCTCAGCCTGTCCCAGTCGAGGTCTGCCTGCTCCACTAAATGCATTTGCAAAAAGAGCTTAAACACAAAACACGATCCCCATTTACTTGTGCGCCTTGCCTTCCCCCCAAATTCCTCGAGGATGGTTTGTCTCACGTGTTACCGGGTGTAAAAGCAGCTCGCATTCAATTAGCAGCGAAGCTCACGGGGCCCCGCTCTATGGGTGAGTAGGGGGAGTGTGTGTGCGTGCTGGAGGAGGAGAGTGGTGAGTGTCCTGGGTGAAGGTGTGCCTTTGAAAATGTGTGTGAACGGTAGTGAGAGCTCAACACATCGACGCGATTACATGAAGATGGATAATTCTAGCGTGTGAAGGTAGACTGTGCGGAGGGGATGAGGGTCTGTGCTAATGTGTTTGAACGTGTGGGGGGGGGCGATGTGATAAGGAATAGCGGCAATGTCTGCAGATGTGTAAATGTGGGGGGACATGAGTTACGGGGTGCGGTGAACTGGCAAGAGCCCAGCGAGGGCGGTGGGCGTGGGGGCCGAAACGTGTCTCCGCGAGGGTTAGAGCCTCTATGGCGTTAACAAATGTAGACGATGCGGGAGATGGGAGAGGCTCTGCGCGTCCCTGCCGAGCCGGGAGCGCGCGCAGACTCTCGTCAATCTGCAGCCAGAAAGACGTGGGGGAAACAGACACGAAAGGAAAAACTGAAGTGGGACCTCAGGGCCAAAGGATACCCCAGACTTACCTGTCCCTTTCCCCTGTCTTCCCCGCAGTCGGAGCAACAGAGGCGGGAAGCGCCCTTGGGCTGTCTTCCTGGCTCCCGAGACATCAAGTCTGGAGAAGGGGTTGAAGCCCGAGGCAGCACACGGGGAGTCAAAGAGCTGCGGGTAAGCCTCGGGACGGCCCCACAACCTTGATCCAGATGGGAATAGACCCCACCTAGGGTGCTGGACCCCTTGAGGTTGGGGAGAGATAGGGAGGAGCTCTCCCCCCAAGAGCAAAGGTGCAATGGGGAACACGGGTTTCCAAAAACGGGGATGTGAAAGGGGCACTGCCGAACCTGCCTGCCGGGAGCTCTGTGTGTAAGTGCGTTTGTGTGGCTGGGAGAAGGATCCCTGGGGCATCGTAGAGCTTCAGAAAAGGGGCAAAATCTTGAACCTTCTTCTATTTCCATAGCTAGTGGCAGCTCCCATGCCCCATGGGCCAGGGACCCCTCTGCTTCCTTGAGAGCCACCTGGGCTCTGTGGTATGGGGAAGGAACTTTGGTGCCGTTCCCCCCGTGCTCCTGGTCCGTGAACAAGGGAAGACCGCCTTCCTCAGGTGGAAGGCTGACTGAGCACCCCTGGTTCTCTCCTAGAGGGAGCTGCCGGCGGCTTAGGTCGGAGCGGCTGAGGGGTCTGCTAGCGGTCTTCCGCGCGGGTCCCACGGCTCCTGCCACCCGCTGCAAGCTCTCGGTATTGCTGATCCACTGGGACTTTAGTCTCAGTGGAGGGCTGTGTGCACGTGCCAGTGCAGGCCTGTGTCCCTGCGTGTGGGTCGTTTCGCGTGAGGACTTGTGTCTTTGTGTCTGCCAGTTCCCACAATGAACAGGAAAGAGCTCTGCACTGTTGTGGAAACGCTGTAAAAATGCTGGGTTCAGCTGAGAGGACAATGAGGTCTCAAGGGTATATTGTGTCTATGTCTGGGTGCTTTTATGTTTGTGTGTCTGCAAAATGTGTTGTGAACCTCTAAACCCCTGCAGAAGTTGGCGGTTTTATGGCGGTGCCTGAGCATGTGTTCGTATTGTTCTCCTGCATGGGCATGTGTGCCAGCGCTGTACATGGGACAAAGAGTTCAAGAAAGGACACCAGTCACAGACAAAAATACCCTTTCTGTGTATCCCTTTCACGGCATTAGACAACAGCTTAGAAATACAGACGGGTCGATGCAGACCAGCGATCTGCCGGCCAAGCCTGTGCAGTGGGGCCAGAGCTAGGGTGGGAGGGGTAGATAGGAGAAAAAAGAGCATGATAGAAGACCTCTGGAAAAGGAAGTCCGGGTTCTGAGAAGGAGCATGGATTGAATCCGCAGACTTTTACTGAGCTACACCCATGCCAAAGAGAGGCACCTGGGCATAGAGATTACTGGAGCCCTGGAGCCTACTGTTGACTGGTTTTCGGACGCAGAGCTTGATAGGGCTGGGAAGCTGGGGCTCGGTGAATCGCTTTCTATCCTCTTTCCCTGCTTTCACCTGCAGGATCCGCAATGGTGCCCTTGCGAGTGGTGTGGCTGGCCTGGGTGCTGCTAGGAGAGGCGCGAGCATGCCCAGAACCGTGTGCCTGCGTGGACAAGTATGCACACCAGTTCGCCGACTGCGCCTACAAGGAGCTTCGCGAGGTGCCGGAAGGACTGCCAGCTAACGTGACCACGCTTAGCCTGTCGGCCAACAAGATCACCGTGCTGCGGCGAGGGGCCTTCGCCGACGTCACTCAGGTCACGTCGCTGTGGCTGGCGCACAACGAGGTTCGAACCGTGGAGCGCGGCGCGCTGGCCGTGCTGAGCCAGCTCAAGAATCTTGACCTGAGCCACAACCTCATATCCAGCTTTCCATGGAGCGACCTGCGTAACTTGAGCGCGCTGCAGCTGCTCAAAATGAACCATAACCGCTTGGGGTCTCTTCCTCGGGACGCACTTGGTGCGCTGCCCGACTTGCGCTCCCTGCGCATCAACAACAACCGGCTTCGTACACTGGCTCCCGGCACCTTCGACGAGCTGAGCGCACTGTCACATCTGCAACTTTATCACAACCCCTTCCATTGCGGTTGCAGCCTCGTGTGGCTGCAGGCCTGGGCCGAGAGCACACGAGTCTCGCTACCTGAGATTGACTCCATTGCGTGCGCCACACCAACCGCGCTGCAGGGGGTTCCGGTGCACCGCTTGCCGGCTCTGTCCTGTGCACCGCCCAGTGTGCGTCTGAGTGCCGAGCCGCCCATTGCGGCTCCGGGCAGCCCCCTGCGCGCCGGTATGGCGCTCATGCTACACTGTGTCACGGAAGGACACCCCACGCCTCGCCTACAATGGCAACTTCAGATCCCGGGTGGAATCGTAGTCTTAGAGCCGCCGGTCCTGAACGGGGAGGACTATGGGGATGGGATGGAAGAATGGGACGGGGAAGGAGATGGGGACGGGGAAGGAGAGGAGGACGGGCCGACGCAGACGGAGGCCCCAACCCCGTCTCCGGCACCAGCTTGGCCCGCGCCCCCAGCTACCCCACGTTTCCTGGCACTCACAAACGGCTCCTTGTTGGTGCCCCTCCTGAGTGCCAAAGAGGCAGGCGTCTACACGTGCCGTGCCCACAACGAGCTAGGTGCCAACTCCACGTCAGTACGCGTGGTGGTGGCAGCTGCCGGGCCCTCAAAGCACGCTCCTAGCGCAGGGGGAGACCAGGATGTGCAGCCTCCGACCTCTGAGCGTAAGTCCACAGCCAAAGGCGGAGTCAACAGCGTCCTGCCCTCCAAGCCCGATGGCAAAGTCAAAGGCCAAGGCCCAGCCCGGGGTAGAATCCTTGGGGAGATGGAGGTGGGGCCGGAGGAGGCTGGAGAGGGGGAAGGGGCGGAAGACCAGTTCTCCGCAGACCCAATGGAGGAGCAGCGCTGCGGCCACGGGGACCCCTCGCGGTACGTGTCCAATCACGCGTTCAACCAGAGCGCGGACCTCAAGCCGCACGTCTTTGAGCTGGGCGTCATCGCCCTGGACGTGGCGGAGCGAGAGGCGCGGGTGCAGCTGACGCCGCTGGCGGCGCGCTGGGGCCCGGGGCCTGGAGGGGCTGGAGGAGTTGGGTTGCCTGGGAGGCGGCCCCTGCGGCGTCTCTATCTGTGCCCGGCGGGGGGCGGCGCGGCAGTTCAGTGGTCGCGCGTGGAAGAGGGAGTCAACGCCTACTGGTTCCGCGGCCTGAGGCCTGGCACCAACTACTCTGTGTGCCTGGCGCAGGCAGGCGAGGCCTGCCACGTGCAAGTGGTGTTCGCCACCAAGAAGGAGTTGCCCTCCCTGCTGGTTATCGTGGCGGTGAGCGTGTTCCTTTTGGTACTGGCCACCGTGCCCCTGCTGGGAGCCGCCTGCTGCCACCTGCTGGCCAAACACCCGGGGAAGCCCTACCGCCTGATCCTGCGGCCGCAGGTTCCCGACCCCATGGAGAAGCGCATCGCTGCCGACTTCGACCCGCGTGCCTCCTACCTCGAGTCCGAGAAAAGCTACCCAGCAGGCGGCGAAGCTGGCGGTGAGGAGCCAGAGGAGGCCCCTGGAGAGGGCCCTGACGAAGACCCAGAGCAAGGGGACCCATGTGGGGACTTGCAGAGGGAGGAGAGCCTTGCGGCCTGCTCGCTGGTGGAGTCCCAGTCCAAAGCCAACCAAGAGGAGTTCGAGGCGGGCTCAGAGTACAGTGACCGTCTGCCCCTGGGTGCGGAGGCGGTCAACATTGCCCAGGAGATTAACGGCAACTACAGGCAGACAGCAGGCTAAAACCCCCTCCCGCCCGCCCCGCCCAGTCTCATCCCCAACTTTGGGTGCCTGGGAGCAGAAATCTGGGCCTGGCAGGGTTTATGCCCCTCTCCACTTACTCAGTCCTCTTACCGTCCCGTAACTGTGACTCCTGGGGACTTAGAGTGCAGAGCGGAAGGTTTCACCAGTCCCCCCACCCACTCCCCAGCACCCTGCTACACCCACGATCGTTAGTGTCCTTATGGGCTGAATCCCCTGTGGCAAGCACAGTTCCCTGCTTCTCTCTCCCCGTCTAAGACACCACCGCTGACCGTGGGCAAAGTCCACGCCTCTCCAACCCCACGCAGTTATCTTCGAAATCTGCCCCACTGCCTGCCCAACCGTGAGCCCCGGAGCAAGAGGAAATGGGAGGACATTGGAAACATCACGCGGTAACGCTGTGGCTTGGGTGTTGTCCCGGGACCCCCAACAGACGTCCCGATAGTGGAACGCTGTGAGGCTCCGCCTCAACCCCTATTTTGCCCTTTCCAGGGTGCATGTTCTAGAAGCTAGGATTTGGTAACAACTCCCTAGTTTTTAGTTTTAAAGCCCCCTTGCGTCTGGGAACCAAACCCTTACGCTCCCTCCTCCTCCCCCTCTGGCCCGCTTGCGCTTCTGACCAGCTGGAGCCGAGCCGGGTGCCTGGGGCGCCTTTCATCTCCGCGCTCGGATTTTCACATTCTCGTTGTTTTCAAAGACAGCGACACTCCGAGTCTGGTGCTAACACTCTTTTCCCAACCTCTGGGAAAAGTGTGTGCGTGCGTGCGTGCGTGCGTGCGTGTGTGTGTGTGTGTGTGTGTGTTCGGGGGGGGGGGGGGGGGGGCGGAGTGAGGGACCGTTTTCTCCCGCTTTCTCACCTAACTTAAAGCGCCTCGGAACTGCGCGCCCTTTTTCCATCGAGCGTGCGGGTTTGGTCCCGAGCCAATTTCGTTGTGGGTGGGTTGGGGTTTCCGGAGACTAGTGCAACTCGACAGCTTCGTTTCCACTGCTGCACGGGGCTCAGACCGTATCTCGAGAAGCTCCGGGGCCATAGGAAGCAACTGCGGTATTTCCGGCCGGGTTCCTCGAGAAGCCGTGCGCCCCACTTCGCACAAAGCCTGCGAGTGACCTGCAGCGGGATGCGGATGGGGAAGAGCCCCTCGGTCCTCCTCACGCCTCCCCGCCCCGCCCCTTCTTTCGCGACAATAGTATTTGCTTGGCTTGTAGTCCTAGACGAGCGTGCTCTGTAAGAGAAAAGTCTGTGTCCTGTAAAGTGTGACCTTAGAGTGTAGGGGGCGGGCGGGCAGGCAGGTGGGCGGGGAGGGAAGGAGGGAGGGAAGAGGAGGGTAGGCCGGGGGCGGTGACTCTGGCTGGGGTCCCTTTTTCGTTTTTGAAGGAAAACGTTGGGGTAGGGGTGGGGAGTTTCGGGCGTCTGGATCATCGGGTCCGCGAAACGCAGCACAAGTGCAGTCCAGGGCGGAGTAGCCCCCAGGGGCCGCGCTCTTCTCTAAAGGTGTGTCTGTATGTGCACAGTCAATAAAACAATCGATTTGATCTAGGCTTGGTGACTCTTTGTCCGGGGAAAGAAGGAAGAAGCCGACAGGGGGAGGAGTGCCGGAGGAAACCAAAGAAACAAGGAGCTCCGAGGTCCCTCCCATTGGGATCCTTTGTAAGATCTCGTGTTTGTTTGACTGTCCAGTGATTTTTGCCAGGTGTTTACACCCTGCTCCCTGTGCCTCTAGCTCCAGGGTGGAGGGGGCAAAACCACAGGGGGGAGAGAGGCTGGCAGCGAAGAGAGGGTGGGTCTCTGAAAACTGAACGCGAGAAACTCCAGAGTGTGTGCACAATTCTCACTGGGTTGACCCTGTCTCTGTGATGTGGCTGTGTATGTGTGTGTTTATTGCCTAGTTTCTGCGTCTCAACATCAGCCTCTTAGTTCTCTGAGAAGCCGGTTGACAGATCCATAGGGCGAGACTGTAGTGGCCTGCACAAAAGAAGCCACAAATAATAAACCCCAGAGCAGGGAAAGGATGGGGGGCAGAAAAGGGGCAATCTGGCAGGGTTGGCTCCACAGAACAACTTGGTACCTTTAAGCGCAGGAGCCTAGAGTCTGTGCAGGAGTGTTGCGGGCGGGGCAATGCTCAGAGAACGGAGCGTGGACCACTGCCGGAGTGTGTGAGGCAGCCAGAGGGTCTAAGGTGGGTGCACATGTAGGATCAGGTTGAAAGCACACTGGTTTGATAATCTCAGAAACGGGGCTTCTTGGGTGAAGAAGAGGAGAGACAGAGGGACAGATCCACAGTGGATGCTGTGCTCTGCATCAGGATGAGCCTAAAGTGCTGTCGTTGGGGCTGACTGTGTATTTCAGCAGAATCTCCCTGTAGGAGAGGGAGTGTAGCCAGGAAGGGAGATGGAAGAGGAAAGGAACAGAAATGAAGGAGGCAGATGAAGATTACACCTCCACTCTCAGTGTGTGCCAGGTCTTCCCATTTGGACCAGTCCAGGCTGGGGACCAGTCCCAGGTCCAGACACCATCATGCTACCCAAGCCTGTCTCCTGGCAGAGATGGTGACTATGACATTTCCCAGGGCTGGACTGCAAGTCACAGCCTGAGCCCTGACACTGCAGTCCACCCACTCCCAGGGACACAGCTCAGAGATATAGCCTTTTAGGAAAAGAACTACTTTTTTTCTACCTGAAAATGCTGCCTTTGAGCAGGGAGCAGGGACTGGCCAAATTCCCATGTTTGGTTTAAAAATCCACCCACATGATTGCATTTGGGCACAGGCCTGGCTGGGTCCCTAAAGTGCTTTTTTTGCCCAACCCAGCCCTCCGGTCATGGGAAAGGGGGGAAAGGGGAAGAATGGATCCTTCCTGTCCCCACTGCCCTAAGAATTGGAGGCTCTCCTGATCTTTTCTCCCCCTAGGATTCTGAGGTCCCCCAAAGGTATGTGCAGAGTTTCTGAGAGTTCTGACACTACTTTGTCCTGGGCCAAGTTTCTTAACAGTGAACACACATTGTTCATCTAGGCCTCATGGTCCCTGAGCAAGGCTAGGCCCAAAGACTCTACCCACAGGACAGGAACGGGTGCGGTCTGGGGGTGCAAGGGTGCCATGACACTTTACTGACTGCCCATTGAGACACCAGCCTTCCTGGAACTCCCGCATTTCTGTCTGAATGTTTGACACATGCACGGAATGGTCCCCAGCTTCTGGCCTTCCTTCTTGTCTCCTTTTAAATTTTGTTCGTTTATTTCCTTCCACTCTCTCTTCTCTGGTCTCCTTTTCCTTCCACCTCTCCCTCTTTTCTCCCTCAAGAATCTCATAAAATCCAAGGGTTGAAAGGGACCCTGAAGATTTGCTAATCCAACTCCCCATTTAAGGTTTAATTCTTTTTCTACAATGTCCCCATTAGGTGGTTGTACTTATCCAGGGATGGGAGCTCACCATCACTCCCTCCCTTCGAGGAACCAATCGTTGAGCAGTTTAAGGTGTGCCCTCCCTCAGGTATCCCTTAAGCCCAACTCTGCCACTGGCATGCGCCCTGCGAGAATCTGCAGAGGTTTGGAGGTGAAATCCCCACATCTGTCCCTCACTTCAGGGCTCCAAATCTTGTCATTCACTGACATTTTTTAAATTATTAATTTAGAGCACCTAGTGTTTCAGGTGCTGTGCTGGCTTAGCTCTCCCCAGTGTGTTTTGCCAGAAAACATTTGGATGCCACATGGACATGGAATATAATGGGTTGAGGAGTGTGAGTGTGTGTTTGGTAGGGGGTGGAGGGGAACACAGAAAATAGTCAGAGAATGCAATATAACAACAGTAACCTTGGAACTCATAGCAATTTATCAGGAACAGTAATTCTCTGAGCTGTAGAAACCAGATGCCCTGACTGGGATGTGGCCTTGAGTCATCAGAAACCTGTCTGCCACAAGGTGACTTGAAAGGAGTGCCCCCCACTCCAATGTCTCCTAAAAGATCAGCAGGAATGAGGACTGTCAACGATCATTTGAGAAAGTCCATTAATATAAAAGGACAAAGGGAGGTACTGCTTCTTTGAGGAAGAAGCAGTTGAGTGGGATCCTCTGCTTCCTAATCTGGTGCCTGGAATGCAGCTCTCCACCCGTGACACTGAATAACAACCCAACAACAATGCAACTACAACTACTATCTCTAAAGGTTACTGGAGTCAGTAGATCTCTGGACTGTTACTCCCTGGTGGTGATACTGTTCTCGATGCTTCCTCCTGGATCTCAGGGCCATGCATTTTGCTAGGTAAAGGAAAGGGAGTGGCATCTTGCTATGACTGCCTTACCTCAGATTCAACATCAGAACCTCAGTCATGAGACACTGCACAGGGAAAGGGAGACCTACTGTCTGCATAACAAGAGGCACCATCTGCAGAGAAAGAACCATGACTGCGTGAACACTGGGCAAGCGAACCTGGAGGGCCTTGTCCTTTCAGGAATGAGGTGTGTTCTCACCTGAAAAAGCCAGGCGCAGGTACAGGGATCTAGGAAAGGTCCCATGTAGAGACAGTAAGTTGTCAAGTCAGACTTAACAAATACCTTTACCTTGCGAGTCTCTAATATGAAGATATTGACAAGAGCAATTCTGCTGGAAAATTGGAGATAGAGCAAGCAGAGCCTTTTCAGTGGTAGTGTGTCAATTAATTGATTGCATTTGCAACACACCCACCCACACACGTGTGTTCAATCACAAGATTTTGCCTTAGGACTCAATAGAGAATAACATTATATTGAAAATGAAAGATCTACTGTGACTGGCATATAAAAGAGATTGAATTATAAAGTGTCTTGCGTTTGGTTCAAAATATGGCCAGTGCTTCTAATGAGACTTGATGTGGATTAAAAAAAAAAAAAAAAAAAAAAAAGCTATCCAAACACCCCATGATGGGTAGAATATAAAACCAACTTATGGGGTTAAATTAGTTGAAAAGACACTGCATCATCCCCTTGGTTGAATGAGTACTTTAGGTCATT